AGTGATTTTAACCACAATTGTAAAAAACTATAAATTGTTATCATAATTCATTGATTGATTAACCCTTTGAGTTTGAGCTTCTTTATTTAATAAACAAGAAAAACAAAAACCTAAAAATCTACCAGGAAATCATTTCTAAGATGAATCATTCAAATCATTGTTGCAATTGTTAAATTTACATCAATAAATTTTATAAATATTATTAATATTATTATTATTATTATTATTATCAATATATTTACAATTTGTTATAAAATGATTACATTAAAATTGAGTATCAAAGAATAGCTTTCTTACCTGAACAGTTGCAAAAACATATGCAAATTTGGACTTTAGTGGTCCTAAGTACCAATACCTGTAGAAATCAGAAAGTATTTAATTTGGTAAAAAGTATTTAATTTGCTTTGATATTACTGTACAGAATCCCTGACATATCCAAGACACATGTAAATATAATAATATGAATGTGTGTACAAAAGTATTATTTACATCAAGCAAGTATACTGTAATTTATATCAATGCTTACTTGGGAATTCTATCTCGTACATTTCTGTATTCGCCCCATTCCAACTTGGACAATCCATACACCGACCTTCCTTCAGAATCCTACAAACATTCATTAACAATAATAATAATTAATATTTATATACATTTTTTTTACTTTAAGTATAGCAGTTTCATTTATCATCAGGTACTACCTACACAAATTTTCCATTTTGTACTGGAATTCTGAGACACAGAAATTGATAAGTTGAGCACTCTGGGTCATTGAGAACCCTGTGCATATACTGTTAGGCAAAATATTGTTGTTTGGTTTAATGAATGCACTGTCCATTCATCTAAGTTGAAAGGTAGAGTAATGATGTCAAAGGTTAGTTACCTGTATGGACATCACATCCACTGGTGTGGTCATGCCTTTAATTATTGCCATTGCTGCATTACACATCCACCTATCGAAGCAGACGTTATATAGTATACATCACTTTGTAATAGCAATAAATCGAGTCTGAATCCCATATCATAAAATGTTACTTCAAAGTAAATTAGTCTCGAAATATCAATTTTGGAATATTTTGTTACTACATACCTGACTTCAGATTCTGAATCTAAGTACAGAAACTTTGCTAATGTATTCGTGAAACCGATAGGGATGAATCCTATTGGCCAGTTCTTGCT